TGCATTGAAAAATATCACCCCAATACATCTGAAAGATAAAAGCAATTTGCACCATAAAATAACACCATACACATGGCCTGCGTACAATCCTGTTGGTCTATTTTTCAACCTCACAAACTCTTTTTCTTCATATTTCTTCCCAGGGTGGAAAGCACTGGGCGGACCCGAACTTGAAATGCTCAGGGCATTAACTTTATGAAATGAATGGCTGTTGCTTTACACCTACCTCTTGCAAATCACCACAAATTTTGCAAAGTAAATGTACAATTTCCATTTAACAGTCATTCTTTAAAAGTAACCTAGTTGTTCGGTGAGAAATTTTTCCGTCAAGACTTTTAACTGTCTATTCGTAAGAACCACGCATACCTCAAGGCTTTTTTTGAAATACTTAAGTTATACTCGGGCAGGGAACATTCCCGCAAAATTTCACCTTTCCAGCTTTTCTGGTCACCGAGTTAGCAATTCCCCGCCAAAACCTTCACATATCCGTACTTGGATACTTCGGGTGCCTGAAAAGCTAAATTTGAAATTTTTAAATTGCATTCACCTAAAGCTTCAACCTTCCAGCACTTCTGGCTGCCGAGTAATTTTCTTGCAGAAACTTTCATACGCCCTTACGTGAGTACAATGCATAGCTTGGGGCTAATTTGGAAATATTTGAGTTGCACTTGGACAGGGAACATTTTCCCAAAATTTTAGCTTTCTAGCCTCCCTGGCACCCGAGTTAGCAATTTCCCTCCTAAAACTTCCATACGCCTCTACGTGAGTGCCACGCATACCTGGGGCTGAGTTTGAAATCTTTAGCTAGTACATACACACGGGATATCCCTACACAGTTTCAGCCCTTTGCATGTATTTTTAAAGCACCCGTACGCGGCGTCCAGGCGTCCGAGGGGGATGAAATTAAAGTGGGAGGGTCGCGCATGGTATGGGCATGGTACACACACACACACATACACACACACTCAGCCTCTTCCCAATATGCGTTTTTGCAACTTGCATATGTGCAAAAACGCATAAAAAACCGATGGACTCACAAGCTTAGTTCGAGCGCTAATTTTGTTATTTTCTAATTATGCGTTTTTTGCAGCTATGTAATGCAAAAACGCATATTGTCAAGGGGTTGTCTCTGTGTGTGTGTGTGTGTGTGTGTGTGTGTGTGTGTGTAAGTGTGTAAGTGTGTGCGTCTGTAACGAGTTTTCATCTGGAGATCCACAAAAGCTACAAGGCTGAAAATTTGGTGACTTAATCTATACATACGTGCGGGCTCGTATCCTCAAAATGGATGCTCAGGTCCGTGTGGCTCTCACGTAGGGGCACGTGAAAGTTTTTTTTACCGAGATAGTGTTTTCGGGAACGGCCCATGTTAGGAAGCTGGAACTTCACAGAGTTGTTCCTTGGCCGCGTCTAATCCAAAGATTTCCAATTCAGCTTTCACACACCCTCAGGACTCACGCACACATCAAAGTTTAAACTGGCACCAAACCAACTCCAAATTTAAGGTGATCAATAAGCTTCAGAGAGCTGCAATTCTGCACAGTTACTTGTCGCCTGCTGTTGTGTTTGTGAAGGTAAATTACTTGTCAGCTCTTCTGCATCTCACGTACGAACACGTGAAAATTTCACGCACGCGCTTT